CGGGGAAGACTATTTGCCTCGAGAATGCATTAGCATTTTGTTCTCTCTCACTCTCTTTCTCTCTCTCTCTCGTTCTCCCACTTCCCCCACGGCCATTTTGCCTTGGCGCCCCCGGCTGGCCCGAAGGGGATCTATCGAAGAATCGCGGCGCCGAATAATTGTCTGCCAAGGTTATCCGCGGGACGTCCTTAGGATGGTCTCGGACTCTTCAACAAATCCACTACTCCTCAAGGTCTATTTGCATGTAAATTCGGAGCGTGTTTATGAGTCTTTGCTTCAGCTAATTCAGGCGTTACTATTTTGCTTTCTTGCTCTCTCCTACTCGCTCCCTGGCCCTCCTTCTCTCCCCCCCCCTCTCTCTCTCTCTCTCTCTCTCTCTCTCGCTTTCTTTCTCTCTCGCTCTCCTTCTCTCTCCCTCTCTCTCTCTTCTCTCTCTCTCTCTCTCTCTCTCACGAATTTTTACTGATCGAAGATGAGGTCGGATTCATTAATTTCCGCCCCCGTATTTTTTTTGTTTTCCGGCTCCAAAGGCACCTATTTGGGGTATTCGGCCATATTTTCGGGCCCACAGCGTCACTTCCATTTTTACCCGGGTCTCTCGACCAAAATAATCCTAATGACCGGGTTCCCGCTGCGATCTCCGGAATTCCGATTGACTGCGACGGATTGCAATAAACAGGGGGTACTGTAGTGTGATAGTGAAGTAGACTCTTGCTTGAACAGCTTGGCATCTTGTCTCGTTCCGCAAAGACTCATGCTAGCATGCCCTGGAAAATCAGCAATAAATTTTAAAATTTTTTGTTCTTTTTTAATTTTTAACCTTAGTTTGTGATAATCTCCCCATTTCTCTTCCGCTCTCTTTCTCTTCCGCTCTCTCTCACCCTCTCTCCCTCTCTCTTTCTCTCTCTCTCTCACTTTGAACCTCGCTCTCTTTCGTCTGCCTCCCTCAATCAGTCTTTGCCTCACGACCTCGCTGTCTCTGTCTCTTTCTCTCGTTTTCGCTCACTTTCTCGTTTATAGCTCATACTCCCATACGTTCTGGTATTGACCAACGCATTGTCCAAAAAATCTAAAAGTTAATTTATTAAATGAAACGGAACGGGTGTACCCTCTCGTCCCTATCTTGTCACCCTCCCTTTAATCCATCCGTCAATAGCAGCATTGCGTTCAGTTCCGTAGTTCCAGAACGTCTCTCGGAAAGGTGTGCCATCATTTAGTCGGGGGGCTATGCGCCGCTAGGGGTTCGCCGTGCAAACCAAATATGACACGCAGCCGGGTGGGGGACCCCGCGAATCTATTCAACGTCAAGCACAGCACCCACCAACACCACACCATCCAATACACAAATCAAAGAGGGACAGACCGACAGACAGACGGACAGATTGGCCACACAAACAAACAAACACACATTTCGGACCGTTTTCGACCACCGCCTTTTACGGTTGAGCTCGGGTCAGATGGTCAGGGTTGGTCATTGAACCGGAATTTTCCGATTTTTCACTTTTCTAGGACTTTATTCCAGCTTTTTTCTTGCCTTGTTTCTTCCAGTTTTTTTTTTCTTTCCAGTTAATCTGACACATCTGTTCTTCTGAAATAGGGCTAACCATTTTAACCAGTTCCTAATTACTTAAATGTATTAGCAAAAAAATATCGATTTTTCTGCTTCGTTTGCAGTCACTTTTGGATGACCCATGGGTCTTGCCGGGCCCGCGACACGCGACGCGCGTCCGTATCCTACCGATCATATCGGGTAAAACAGTTTTTAGAGGAGCGTAGTGGAATTTTCAGATCGAGTAAAGCTCGATTACGCTTTTCATTGCGTAATGCATTTTGACCTTGACGACTGGGCGCGCTGCTACGTTGCGTATCGCGGGCTTGGCTAACTTCCCGGATAATCGATAGGCAGCTTTTTACCCTTGATTTAAGGAAACGGACAAGGCATGATTTATGGCACGCGACGCGCAATGTCGACATGGATTTCGTAACGAATTACGCTCCCCTTAAGGTCGGTGCGTGGGAAGACGGCGCGTTGCGTGTGGCGTTCGGTGTCGGATCGGGCGTCGCGTTGTGGGCCGCCCCGCTTTTAGATAAGATTCTGATTTTCTTGACACTTGCGAAACGATAATCTCATTCCGATACGTTTCAATCCGCTAATGACCGTGCAGCATAGTCGTTACGGTATTATTGTGTGCCTGCTAGTTCTATCAATTTTGTTGGCATCACCCTTGCAATCCCAAAAAGTCCAAAGTTCATTCCATGCCCGCCTCCCCTGCCTAAAATCCGAAACGCTTGCTTCACTGCTCTCTCGCGTGCGCACAGGCGCTGTTCGTAGGATCCAGGCGGAATGGGGCATTTCTGGGGAATGAGGAGGGGTAGGGGATGGCATCGGTCATAATCTGGGGGATGGGCTGCCCCCATCCCCTGCCTTTCAGCCCTTCAGGCTCGATGGTCTGTGGACCGAGCATTGTTATGTTTTTCTGTAATACCTCTAAAATACCTTGATCACTCTCTCTCTCTCTCTCCCTCTCTCTTTCCCGTTCTCTCCCTTTCCGTATTGCCAACACTACGTTACGCTCCGTTTACTAGCCTAGGAAATACAGTATCACGCTGATCTTTTCAATAGTTTCCGATATTTTTGCCATGATTTTGGTTTTATTTATCGCAAGTATGCTTCTGCCAGGTGCTTCAATTTTTTTTATGGCTAAAGCACTCTATTTTGCACCTATCACCATTTCTTTGCCCGTTCCGCGCGACCCCAAACCGTTCAAAGAACGCACGCGTACCACTGGGTCCAAATTCTTGCAGGCTTGGCTTACGTCTTTCCGTGTGGCCTCTCCCAAGGTGCAACCAGCTTTTCCTGGGCGTAACGTAGATGAAAGAATGGAGGCAAGAACAAATGGGGAGAGGGTGAGAGGGAGAGGGAGAGGGAGAAGGAGAGGGAGAGGGAGAGGGAGAGGGAGAGGGAGAGAGAGAGAGAGAGAGAGAGAGAGTGAGAGAGAGAGAAGGAGCAAGAAAGAGCAAGAGAGGAGAGAAAAAAAGAACGAGAGCGGTACTGTTAAAATCGCGAGAAAAATGAAATACCTCTCATCTGATGAATTTTCAAAACCACACAAATTGCAGAAATCAAAGTTCCAAGCTAGAACGCGAAGCATTTGACTTCTCGGTCCCTTTAAGGCTAGTTTGAGTGAGAGAGAGTGAGAGAGAGAGAGAGAGAGGGAGAGAGGGGGAGAGGCAACGACATGGCGAGAGAAACCAAGAACAAAAGCGCCATAATCTGCGGGACACCCCCATTGCATTGCATTTTCTGGGTGCATCGAGCACTTTTTCTGCGCGCAGCCCCCAGCGCGCAGCGCTTGGTCTCGCTTGGGCCGAAGGCCCTGGAGACAAATAGAATTTGGTGAGCACGGTATCGCCGTGCTGAAGGCTTCGCTCGCCACTTTTCCTTCTTAGGACCCCGCAAAAAACGGGCCCAAAAGAGCCACTCTCTTTGCTATTATTTGGGGTCGCTCCCTGTGACCGGATCGAATGAATGGTGGTTTGGGACTTTCGATCGATCTTCTGGACTTTATGGACGTGCAGGTTTTGGGGTTTGATTTTTCTTGAATTGAATTCGAGGGGTTTGAGTCGTTGGTAAGGCGTTACCTACTCGAAATGGCAGCTTAATGGATGTCCTCCGGTTGATCTCCGGATAGATTTTTAATTTTTTTGAAGTTATGAGGGTTGACTCCGCTTTGTAAAATCGTTGAATATTTCATTTAAGCCTTTTTGCTTTCCTTCTTCCCTATGGGTTGGCTAATTTTGTTCGACGGTTTCCATTTTTGTAATGTGGATCTTAATTTGTGTTTTACAAATCGTTTCGTGTCTCCTCTTTTTAGTAAGTTTCCTTCCTTTCTAGCGTTAACTAGAAATGTTTGGCGCGGCTGGTTTAATACAGAGGTTTTTGACAGTTGCTGCATCAATAGAATTATTTTGGCGGCAAGCTTCTCTAGTTTCGGTTCGTGATTTTCATAAAATTCTATTTAATGGACTTTCGTCACGCATTGAAATGAAATTAAATCATCCGATTCCTATGTAATTCGCTAAAATTCAGAAAAACTTGTTTGCGCCAAACCCGAATCAAACTCCCATGAGACGGCTTGAAGTGAGAACTGTGAGGCTTTTGGGGCCATTCTGTTTGAATTCGCTCATTTATAGCGCGGAGCTATTTGCAGAGAAATTAGTGGCCACTGCTGCCTACGGGGTATTTCATTAACTTTCGTGAGGTACTTTGCACTTTCTTTCGCAATTTTTTAATTTTTTTTTGCAAATATTTATTGCCTGCCCGCTTAATTTGGTACTTTTTGAAATTTTCAGCTGTGTTTTGCGGTATAGTAACTTTTTCTAAGTGGCGCATTCCATGTTTTCTATTATCGATCGATTTTTAACGTTTTTTAACAAATTAGGGAATCTGATGAAATATATTTTTCGCTATTCTTGAAAAACGCTTTACCTACCATAGAATTGCGCCACGTTTTTCTACTTTAACCGCAACTCGTAGATTTTTGGGTGGTTGGTAAGCGATTTTGGATAGTCACACTTTTTTTTGAGGTATTTTGTCAAAAATATATTAACGCGTGATTTAATTTATTTTTATTTGGTTTTTTGATTGTCGGTGTTATATATTTTGTTTGATGCCTTTTTTTAGATTTTTTGTCCTCAATTTTCTTTTTTTTTTTCTTTTTTTCCGGTGACGTCTAGCTAGGCAAAGTTAGCGCTCCCATCCTGAAATTTGAGTCATTCCTCCTTCTCCTCTCTGCCCAATTCATGCGTTTCATTCATCACTCCACTGTTTACCCGTTGACGGGTTACAATATTTGCCTTTCCCTTTTTACCCACCGGCCGTTCCATGGCTTCTATTCTTTTTTTAAAGCTCCCTGAAGTGACATGAAGCCAGAAATTTCAGACGAATGCGGCAGTGCTAATTCGCAGGACTTGGAATTGACGAATTTTTCGACTTCACGATGTACCTCACCTCGCTTTTTGAAGACCCGAACGATGAGCCGGTTGAACGAGAAGATGATGAACCGCTCGAGTGTTTTGAGGGATGGTTATTGGTGACAGGTCAGTGCAAGTTCCGTTCTTTCGAAATCGGATCGCTTTTTTGCTTCATGAACCTGGTCTGCTTTTTAATGTTTTTTTTTCTGTAGTTTTACGGTATCTCTCTCTCTCGCTCTCTCTCTCTCTCTCTCTCTCTCTCTCTCTCCGTCTCTCGCTTTTTCTCTCTCATCTTGCTCTGCCGCTCTCTCTCTCGCTCTGTCGCTCTCCCTCTCTCGCTGTCTCTCTCGCCTTCAGTCTTCTTCTCTCTCTCTTTCTCTCCCTCCCTCCCTCTCTTTTAGACAATTTATCGAATTTCTCAAGACCTAAACCCTACCACCATTTTGATTTCTGACCGACAATCTACTATCCACAATATCGGCACAATCCCGCATCTATGCTACCCCGGCTTCCGCATTCCCCATCATTTCTTTAGGAAGCCGAGATCTTGCTTTTTTCCGCAAAATTGTCACTATCTCTCTCCCGCCCTCTCTCTCTCTCTCTCTCTCTCTCTCTCTCTCTCTTTTCTTGTCAAAGTACAGTTAAACCCATCAAGAGCTTCCCATTTCTTTTCTTTTCTTTTCCCCATATAGCCGTTCCACCGGGGGTTCATTTATGGGCACCAAGCGAACCCTGTATTCCCGACAACTCTACGTGGTTTCTGGAAATTCGGAGCTACAGACTCCGATCTAGTATTGCCGCTGCCCAATGTCGGCCAGGCGGCGGAGTTATAAAAGTTACAGTAGGCGACCGTATCGTCATGGTTCGTGTTTTAAAACGTTCCTCTCTCGCGCTCTCTCTTGCTCTATAGTCGGATCTCGCGCTCACTATGACCATCTCTCGATTTTTCTGAATAGATTAGCTGATGCGCGCTCTTACGTTTTTACTATTTTTTTTTGTAATCTGATGCTTTAGCACTTTCTTTTCCTGTGCCTCTCACTCGTTATCTCTAAACCATTCGTTTTCTCGTGCTCCTCGCTATCTCTTGTGCTCCTTCATTATCCCTTTTGCTCTCTCACTTTCTCCAGCGACTGCCTTTATCTGGCTCTCACTCGCTGGCTGTCTCTCTCTCTCTCTCTCTCTCTCGATCTAATAATTCGTACTTTCCGATCCCGTCCTACCAACTACCGAAATTTTCCACCCCCCAGGCTACGCGTCATCAAAGATCGGTGTTGTTCTTTGGCTTCTCTTCCATCTGGGGGTGGCTGGTCAGAAGACGTCGTTTGTTGGACGTGCGCCTGGGTGATAATCCCGAAGTTAAGCCCCGCCGAGGAGGAGAGACCGGCTGCTGGGGTCGGTCGTGCCACCTACGCTGCTTAACTATGGGCACAAGCGCCCCGCGCTCGTGCTTTGTTCGATCGTGTAGCTTTTTGTGCTTTATGCCTTTTCGTTATGAAAAACCAGATTGTTTTGCTTTTGTTTATATTTCTTTTTTAACGCAATTTCGCGAAATAGCGAAAATTGATTGACCCGCCGTTTATAGGATGATAGCTTATGGCAAAAAAATTGCTGAACTTGCGCTTTCCTGCTTTTTCGACAGTTCATCTCATCAATTGAACCAATAAATCTCCGCCCCCCAAAGTGAGCACGATGATTTCCTTGTCAGCACCCGCGAAAAAGTGACACGTTTGAGGCAGACCGCCTCAAACGGCGCGCTCCCGCGGGTCGAGTACGCGTGTTGACAAAGTATGAATTTTCCGGAAGGTCAAACATCGGATTTTAGGGTTGTCTATAGACATAATTCGTATACGCAGCTAATTTCCAGAAGAATTCCCCATCCTGGTTCTGGTTCATCAGATCGTAGTCGAAAAAAGAGCCCTGGCGTCTGGTTTTGCGTGATCCACCTTCTTCAGCCCTTCTTTCCGTTCTTTCCCCTCTATCCTCTTGGGTCCACCGTATAAACACTACGTGATCATCCGCCGCCATGATCCATCCAATTTTTTTCCTGAATGCCCCCTTCGGCTGCGGTGGGGCCAATCGAGAAGCCCCTCTCAAACAAAGCTTTGAGAGCATCCGCCATCGGCCCACCCGGATCACATCACACCTTCCCGGTTTTCGCGCTTATAGAGCTTGGTAAATATTATTGCGATAGTTTAATCGGGCTTTACTTATATTTTATTACTTTACTTTAATTTTTACTGATATTTTGAGGATGTTGCTCTGGAGCTCTAAAGCTAAAACTACGAATTAAAATATTAAGTTTAATAAACTTTCAAAATTTCTTTAACAATACCTCGGTGCCAAAAATTCCTGTATACATTCAATTGTTTATTTTGTAGATGTAGTTATTGAAGCTATTGGTTTTCTGGTCTTAATATCGACTAGCTGTCCCAAAAATTACTGTAAGCTCCGAAATAACGATTATACCTCGCAAAGTGTGAAGTAATTGTGTTAATTTTTTAAGTTGCCATATTTTTTATCCCTGTTCTTTTTGCAACTTTTGAACAGTTTGGCCTATTGCCAATGAAAAGTTCATTTCAATGTCATGTCATGCGTCACACTGTTGCCACAACACTCACTCCATCGACCCCTGCTCTTTTCGCCGACCACATTCTTTTCGCCTTAATTTTTTCAATTTTACTAAAATATTGATGACAATTTGATCTACGTATTATAAATATGCTGATCCATATTAAAATCTATACTCAGAAGATGCGAGGTGAGTACGGTATTAAAAAAATCGAATTTTGATAAATGGAATTTTCGAATTCTTGTTTCTCGCGGATCCCTGACTGAATTCTTTTAATTTTTATTTGTTGTGAAGAAGGTTTTTAGCTTTTCTAAGATGAGAAAAATACTTTACACTCACTATATTCGGGTATAAAAATTTTTGAATATTTTTTATTGAGTTGTAGCGCCGAAATTAAACCATTTTCCATTTTTACAGGGGGTACAGTCCCGTGGTCAAACGACCTCGATTCCCGAGTCGAAATTCCGAGTTTTTCCTCGTTCCGCCAACCCTGCAATTTACAACTTTTGACACATCGCACAACCATTGCTGCCATCTGCCCATCTCAATCCGCCGATCTCGTTTTTCGGCGCGTCACTTTTTGCCGGCTTTCTTTTCGAGGGACTATTGTGGCTTTTCGCCGTGTGTTTGGGGGTATCCGAACGCTTTTTCTGATCCCTCTCCGTGTCTTCTCCATCCCTTTAGGGGGTGCGAAAAGCCCTTGAGCCACCCGCCAGCCACACCAGTCAACCGTTCCGAATGCCATCTAGCCACAGGGCGTGTTCGCTCTCTCTCTCTCTCTCTCTCTCTTTCTCTCGCTCTCTCTCTCTCTCTCTCTCTCTCGGAAATGACAGTCGGGTGACAATTTTTTTTATTGCCATTAATCGTTGTCACTTTCTCTCACTGATTTCCCTCCGTTCGCCCTCGGGGTACGGTCCCGCATCTAAAAACGAGCCAGGTACTTTTAAATGGAGCTGTAAGAGTCGTTAATATATTTTTTAAACTTTCATTGAATAACTTTAATCACTTATTTGATTATCATTTCTAGACCTGAGAATTCCGCTTTTACGATACCTGGAAGCATTAAATCTCAAAATTCGGGTCTTCGAGTTGTATTGTATATCCTTAGTTTCTATTATATTTCTGTGCTATCAACTATCAATATGCCAAATTGGCACTAAACCATCCGTCCCGTATTTATTACCTTTTCGTGCTGTTGGGGCGGCAAATCGTTAAAAGTTAAGCGGGCAGCGTGGGCTGCCCGTAAATTCGAGATGGAAAAAATTTTACGTTCCAAATTTTACCTGCCGAGAATCGTGGGCGGCATTATTTTGGGACGTTAACCGAAGGAAGCAGCCAAAACCACATTTTACTGGAATTTTCGGTAGTTTCGATTCTTTCCAAAAAGAACCCTGCTTGATTGCCTGACTGATTTTATTCTGCTGAGAGCATACTCTAACGGAAATTAAGCCATTTTTACTGATCCATAATTTTTGATATTACTATATATTGATTTTTTGGGGCTGTGCGCCTTCAAGGGATTATACAAATTTGATATACAAATTTATTAGCGCAGAGAATTAGCAAAATCTGGATCGAGATTTTTATTCGAATAAATTACAGCCTCGTTAGGATTCCCCTAACGCGAATCAGCGAATCAAATCAAACTTTCCAGCGAATCAATCTAGCAGCTTATTCACCCCCAGTACGCTGGACACCACCTTGACAGTCTCATCCCACCCCGTGGGTCCCGCACGGAACGCGGGACCTAGCTGGCAGTGTGGCTAGCTTTTCGCGCATAGATTGGCCTTTCTTCTCGCATCCTCCGAGCCGACCCGCTCCGATCCGACCGGGACGTCATCTGCAGAAGAGAGGTGTTCGATTTCTTGCCTCACCGTATCTTCGTCTATCCACCCTCTCTTCGGCCACTCATCAAATATTTCGGTCACCCAGCCGCCACACATATCCATTGCACCCCGGAGTACCAATCTTTTTTTTGTTGAAAAAATGGGATGGGCTTCCGAATTTTGGTCCATTTATAATTTTCAAAACGAGCACTACTATAGAGAAAATTACAATTACCAATTTTTGCAAGCCATGGTTATGGACTTTCGAAACTGAGAAAAACCCTGGTAGCCTAGCATGGTTCACTCTCTTTATGCAAGATTGACATCGATTCCTTCTACTCGTTTCGTGTCGTCTTCTTCTACTATTTTGTACTTTAATTAATTTTCATGTTTTACCGTATTTTACAGAAACTATAACTCGCTGTTTTTTCCCTTTAGAATGTGCAGACAGACAATAGCGCGGAATATGCATTATTTCCTAGCTCTTCTATCCCACGCGTGATATTTGTAAGGCCCCGGGGGCGCATGGTTCGGGTGCCAGACTGTTTGTCTGTTTGTTGATCTGTCCATATCCAACCCCGCTCCTCCCGCGCCCAGAATTTGCGTCACGTTCAAAGATCTCCTGGTACTTCTTGGGCCTTTTTGATCCTTTGGTCTCACGGCGGCCGTTTATAGGATGCTTCGGAATGCATGGTAGAATTGCTTTTTCGGGATCGTGGTCCAAGAAAAGACTCGCTAGATATTTTCAGGGATTTTCCGTAGCCTTTCATGTTAATCAATTTAATTTTAAGTACATTTTGGCGATATTGACACCGGTCTCTCCCTCTCTCCGTCCCCCTCTCTCTGACTCTCTCCTTCTTTCTCTCTCACTCTCACCCTCACTATCTGTCCTGCCTTACCTTCTTTTTTTGCTCTCTTTATCTCTCTGTCTCTCTCTGTCTCTGTCTCTCTCGCTCTCTCTATCTCTCTCTATTTCTGGAGCTCGCTCTCTACGATGTTCTCTCATGCTCTCTATACCTGGCATTCCACGTCTCTTTCTCTCTACCCCGCTCTTTCTCATACATGACAACCATATGCTCAACCCCCAAAGTAGTAGAGTTTTGCCTTCACTGTCCCTTTAAATCGAGCTAACCCCATCCTCAGCTTCTTCATTTCCAATTCTCCCTACCTTCTCGGGGCCTAATTACCCTGTGCAATAGTCTGGGCCATACCCCCAAGCCCGGCTCGTTCCTTCAAAAGCCGATTACCGGCAATCGGCGCTTCCGCTTTGGTTGTTGATGCTGGAGGGGATGGCTGTGGTTGGTGAATAGAGGGGGTCCCATTTCTCTGTTGATTTATTGATGGTCTCATCACCCGCCGGCGGGACGGTCAAGGCAATTTATCCCACCGCCGAGACACTGCGGTGGCTACAATTCACACCAATTATCAGCTTGACCCCTACTGAGGGCATTCCACACCGGATTGCTTTTAGGAATTATTTGTATCTTTGTGAATTTTGCCCCTGCCGGTCCCTTTAAAAATTTTCGATTCATCGGTTACGTCCATATGGCTCTCTTTCTGCCTCTCTTCTTTCTCTTTCTCTCTCTTTTTGTGTCCCTCCCTCTCACTCTATATCGCTTTGTCGCGTTGTCTCGTTTTCTATTGCCATGCCAAGTTTCTTTTTTCCTCTAGATAACTTGATCTTTATTACTTTCTTTATGTCTCTCTGTATCTCACTCCCGCTCTCTCATGCTTTATTATCTCGCCGTCGCTCTCCATCGCTCTATCTCTCACGTCTCTCTCTATACCTCGCTCTCTCACTCTCGCTGTCTCTCTCTCTGTCTCTCCCTCCTAAGCATCATTTTATCACAATCACCGAATAATAATTGCCAATGCCACGCGCGACCTACTTACAGTTTACTCCTCCCGATTACCGGCTATTCTTTGATCTTGACCTCTACACTTCCCGTCATTTATCACAATTGACGAAAGCACTTTAGAGCACAAAATATTAAAGCACTAAATTACCTAGCTAGCCTTTTGTTTTCAGACACCGGCCCGACGCCCGGGATGGCCCGGAATGGGGGCAACGATTTCCCCAGATGGCAACGTGGGTATTGCGTCGGACGTGCCGATGATTATTCGTTGATATGTTACAAGAATGAACAGGTATCGTATTTGATAATCGTGAAGATACCTCAAAGATGATTACGCTTTAACAGATTACAGACAGATGCAGATAGTAGATACTAGACCTCCCGAACCCCCCCTTTCCCCCCTTTACCCCCATTTACCCCCCTGCCCAACCCCCCGAAACCCCCCTCCCCAACCCCCCAAAACCCCCCTACCCGACCCCCCTCCCAACCCCCCAACACCCCCCTCCCAACCCCCCAAAACCCCCCTCCCAACCCCCCTATAGTGTATTAAGCAGAGGGTCGGGGGTTCGATTCCCGGCCGCGGGGAAAACTTTTTGCTTTTTGGGTATTCGGTTCTGGGGGGTGTGACAAGCCTAGAGGACAGTCAATTTTTTTGTCGAACTCTTTTTTAAAACAATACGACCGGGATTTTTACCCGGTGAATTGCTTTATTTGCTTTATTTGAGATTGTGGCTTGTTTTTATTATCGGAATGACACCATTAATTGATTGTAATGCTATGCCCTACACAAATAACTCATTGGGAAACCGTTTTGCCCAAAATGGCAGCGTTTTGCCAGCATTGAGCGTGGAAATGAAAATTCTATCAAAAATTTTGCTTTCAGGAAGATTTGGTGTCTAAAAATTTGTCAAATCGCAGGTATTTTATATAGGAAAGCTAGTTTACACTTTTTAAATAGATTTCGTGGTAGAAACCAACAAAAAAATTAGTTTAATTAATTGTTATCCATTGGTAGCAAGCAAAACCCACAAAACTAACCAGTTTCCCACTTTTTTCGTGTCGTGACGGTTGTTCAATACTTGCTACAGCTAATAGTAAGCAAAAACATAAGTATAATAAGTGTAGTTAACTTATAGTTTATGTATCGAACCCCCAAAAAACCCCCAAAACCCCCCCAAAACCCCCAAAACCCCCCTCCCAACCCCCCTCCAACCCCCCAAAACCCCCCTGCCCAACCCCCCACAATCCCCTCCCCAACCCCCCAAAACCCCCCTACCCAACCCCCCTCCAACCCCCCTAAGTAGGGGGGTAAAGGGGGGGGGGGGTTCGGGAGGTCTAGTAGATACCCCTTAACACGGCACGCTTACGCAGCTCTTACAGGCGTTAGGAAACGTTAGGATCGACTTCTGATATCCCCTAGGTTATAGGAATCGAACGATGATTTTGAACGTAAAATGTTAACCATAACCAGGAATCATTTGAACGTGTGGAATGTTAACCCTGGAATTTCCAGCTTCTCCGAATATCATTTTGCTTAATAGTTTTCCTTTCCAGTTGGCCCACACCATCGCCCGTGACGTGCCAAGAACCCGCTTGGATGGTGGCGTCAACAAGTTCATCAAGTACTGGAAATCTCAGGTATGTTTTATGATTGTAGTATCACATTGTGGTATGATTGCAGTAGATTTCAGAAATTTCCGGGACTGTAGAATTAATTCTCGAACAATATCCTTTTTTTCAGGAAACCCGGCCCGACTACCAGCAAGCTTCAAATATCGGTACGGTCAGCCGTGCGCAGCGCATGTTCAGCACCCTGAGTCGGATGACGTCGCTCAAGGTGGGTTTTCATGGCCCGACTTGTCTGGCTTTTTCGGCTTCCCTGCCCCTTTAATACAAGTTCAGGTTCAGGAAGAGGACAGGCTGATGACCGACTACGCTCCGGAGCTCTCCCGAAAATTTTCCATTTCCACCATGCGCATCTCGAGGAAGAAAAGTTGGTGTTTTCGGGTCGTTTTCGGGTTATGGCTGTTTGCATATGGGTGCATTCAAAGCCAGCATCACTTCGGCATCAAAGTAAACAAGGGAAAGTAGGGGTTGCCAGGTCGTACCTGAGGTTTTGACAAAGCTTGTGAAAATGGGAATGTTTAGGCTTTCCTTAACGTGTTTTCTTATTTATGGTAGTACTGTAAGGGGGGATTGTTCGTACTTTTCGTAATTCTTTGCTACTCAGTGAGTCTAATTTTAGTTTACGCTGTTTGCCAGACTTATTGTTGCTCCTGGCTCTGGTATCTAGGCTCTCTCTTTCTCTCTCGTACTCGCTCGTGCTCTCACTCTTTCGCTCCTCTTCCTGTCTCTCTTCGATATTTCGTGTTCACTGAATCTATTCAATTTATGATAAAACTTTCGTTCTGTGAAGAAGTTTGGAGCGATGCGGAACCCTTGAACTTTTATGATTTCAAATTAACATCTGCATCTTAGGCTTTTAGGATCCATAATTCAAAAAGCGCCTAGTATCGTTTCCGTTTAACCCCTAGGCCCCTCATACCCTGACCCGCGCCAAATTATCTGTTTACCCAGGCAAGCACAACGAAAAACGGTCCTCGATTGCGCTTTTCGAAAAATCTTGCTGCTGTGTCTCTAATAGCTGACCATGGTAACTGATTTTCCCAAAAACTCTGCGCGCTCAGCTATCAGCTACCTTTCCAATTTCCAATTTGACGATCAGAGGCACGAATTCAGCTTTTCGGCAAACCGCGCGGACCCTAGGTACCGTGGGTTCAGTGCCCCCAAGAGTCGTCGATACGCCTTGTAATCACTAGGGCAAATATTTGCGTGATTTTTGCGGTAAATTTCCTTGGGCTACAGGAGTAGATTAAGGCATTTGGAAGAGAAGAAAGGCTTGATTCATTCTCTAAAAACTACTGTCGACCGAGCATCATCACGTCGAGATTCTGAAGCTAAAATTTTATTCCATTTCCGGCTGACAGCTTCAAGCTTGAAGTCGGCTTCATTTCGGCTTCATCAAACTTGGAGCTGCATCGAGATCTAAGCTGCATAGCCTAAGCTCAGAATCTAAAGCTCAGCGAAATTTGCTTCCGGATTTTCATTTACGGCTGCATCGAGTTTGAAAGTCGGAAACTTCCGCTTTGTACTATCCACGGTTTCATCAAGCTCTAGCCGGAAATTGGCTCTGATTTGCGGCTCGATCAGAGAAACTGAAGCAGAAGTTTTTCGAGAACGTTCGCGGTCTGGCACATTAAGAGTTGCCGCATCGACCGTACCCCTTGAAGCCGCCATTTTTCTCCATAGCTCCGTAAATTTACGACCAAATCAATCCCTGGCCATCACCAGCCAATCGCTTCCAATTCCCCGAATTTTATTACCCACCCCATCACCCAATCCGCACCCCAGCTGCGCGAACGGTTCCACGGGAACGGCTCTGAAAAGTGTGTGTGAAGCGCAGAGAAAGTGGGTGCTTTGGCTCGGCTTTTGACTCGATCACCCACCCCTGAGGGCGACGAGCCATTGATATCCAATTCGATACACTTTACCCATCCACCCCATAGCAGGGAGCGTGCAACGAAAAGCACCCCTGCACGACAAAGGGGATTTTCCTGCCCGTGCCACACTTTTCGCTATTGGTGGCTGGCGACAAGGGCAAAGGGGGAATATTCTGATCGATATTTCTGGGTTTTTGAAACCGGATTCTGTTACTGCTACCGTATTCTAATTTCGCAATTTGCCATCGTAACCGATTCCTTGATAGAAACCTTAAAAACTCCATTTGCTGTTTTTTTTTACTGTATTCTGGCTACCCTATCGTTTCGGAATTTCGTCGTGTGCCATCTGAAGAAGTTTTGGAAGGCTTTGACAGCCAAATTCCGACGCGTTCCGTTTCTGTACGGTACCGTACGCATCCGTACTCTTTCGTACACGTTGGTGCGAAGCTGCTGTACTTTTTGTACTGCTCCGTAGCCCTCCGTACTGCTACGAACTTATTCGTACTCTATCGTACTGCTCAGTTTAACTCCGTACTGTTACGGGATCTGGAAAGAAACGGAAAAATCGGAACAAACCGCAATCCTGATTTCAAAAGAAAAAGCAGAAGAGTCGGCTTACGGTAGCTCAATAATCGGACTTCCAGAATTTTCTGAGCACACCATAACCACGAAAAATCCCGGAAATCGGCCACCAAACTTCTGAACTTTCTCAAACACGGAAAATCAGTTCCCCGCAATCAACACACCCCGCCGCGGAACACAGGAGAAGAAGTGTTGCTGTGCTAGCAAGAGCTGCGCAGTGGTCCCCCAATTTCTCGAGAGCCTCCGACAACAATTAGGGCCCCGAGGGTCTGTCTATCTTTCGCTGTCTCTCTCGCCCTCCCTCGCTCTCTCGCTTTTGTAGAGACTGTCAGAGATAAAGACAATCTCTCCCTTCCCTTCTCTGTCATCCACTACACAAGACAACTATGGACAGGCCGGATTCTGTGGCGGGCCTGCGCCGCGATTCCCTATTTCGACTGCCCGTCGTCCCCAAGCTGCACAGTCCATTCGGCAGCCCCAGGCCACTGGTCGATCGGGAAACACGTGCGGCTACTTTGGACAGGTGGGAAATAAATTTTTAGGTCTTATTTCCACGTTAAATTTTAAATTAAATCCAAACTTGACTATGCCGATTTTCTCCAAATGCTGGTTTTTATACATAAAGAGTTTTTGCATAGATTTTCGGGCTATTTTTCTAAAATGACAAAATGCTGCCGAAAATATAGAAGTTTAAAAATGCCCGTTTATTTTTCGAGAAAATAGGATACCACTTAAGGTGAATTAGAAGCAATAACGCTAGATAAATCGATATTTTTCGATATTCGGAGGTTTTAAAAATGACTTGATGAAATTTCAAAAATTTCAAAAAATCTGCTTTTCAAATTGTTACGTGAGGAAACTTTTAAAAAAAAACGTCGTTTTTTGTGGATACTATAAAACTACGGCACTTCTAAAAATCGGCATTTTTATACTACTCCTTATGAACTAGCCTAAAAATTGAATTTAAATGGGTGGGCAAGGCACGTCTTTCGCAAAAGAGCGGATTTTGCCCCAGATTTTCTCTAAAAAATCCATTACCTGCCTTCCCCATCCCTTTACTCAACAATTCGATATTTTTAAATATTTGATAATTTTACTTATAAATAGGTTAGTTAAAGAAAATTAAAAATTAATGTCGATGGTTTTTCAGATTCTGCTCGTCCCCAAACCCGCCACATAAACTCAACCGGCCCGAATCGCCAAGCCCAAGCCTGACCTCGGTGAAGTCGCCTCTTCTGAATTTTGCACGATCCCTCGTCCGATCGTCCTCAAACTCCAACCTCAAACCCCACCCCCAGCCCGGCCGCCTTTCAGAAGAACATCTGAAGCCGGGACCAAATCTATTTTCACGTCAAAACCCGCTAGATCGCTCCCGATCTAGCGTCGATTTCCGCCCGGTCTACAAGATTGAGGCGCTGAAGCCGAGTCCAGCAAGTCGGCCAAGCCAGCCAAGCAAGCAAAGCACCGCTGGGGTATCCCCGAAAAACCCAAATCAACTCGATTTGAGCCCGAAGCACGGCTTCTTTTCGAGAACGCTAAATAAGTCCGTTTCCGGTGCGAATCTGAGGGTGAAGCCTGAGAATTCTGGTCATAATCGAGCTAAATCCACTATATTCAGCTTTGTCAGTCCGGATTTAAGGTATCAACGTGCGAATTCTAACAGGCCGATACCTCCACCCCGCCCAAAATCCACGATTTTTGGGCTTAATAGGGTAAATCCGCCTAAAACACCGGAACCTCAAAGGCCAAAATCCGGTATTTTTGGTCCACCAAGCCCATCAGGGAAGCCGCCAAGTCACCCAGGCCAGCCAAGCCCGCACAAAGTTAACTTTGCGATTGGCCCGATGCCGGAGAGACCGAGATCTCCGATGGTTCCGCGACACCACTCTGTACATCACAGTTCCGGTCAGGTGTCTACACTCCAAAGATTGAGACCGGCAAGCTCGGTCTCCACTTTGACACGACTTGCTCAAAGCCCGAGCTTGAACCGTACGACTTCAGAATCCCCATTCGCTACCCCGATGCTGAAGCAAAAGAAAAACTGGTTGGGCTTCTTGCCAAGTCGACTGGAGAGGGTGGAGAGTCCGTTTCCGCTTCCAAGGCTTCATAAAAAGACGCTGAGTCAGTCGTGCGATCATCTGGAGTCCGCTATGGTGGTAGATGTCGAGGCGGATCAGGATTTTTATCCTCAAAAGTTTCCGGAATTCACGTACCATGAGGAGAATCGGCAGCTCGGCACGCCGAGGTCGAAAACGATTCAAAAGGGGCTGTCCCGTTCTAATTTCTTCACTTCCGCGTTGAGTGTACAAGTGGATGGTGAGTCGAATTTAGGTTGAAATTTGGTTTGAAAACGAAAATCTGGGTGTCTTATAATTTTTCTTAAGCCCGGGTATGGAATTTCCGACATTTTCAAAAATTCTATCATCCTCAATGAGTCTCTGCTAGATCGGCATTGCGAAAACTCATTTTTTTTAAGATTTTTAACCTTGGATAAATGCTCGAAGATTCTAATTCCACAGTTCTAGCCACTAGTGAGACTGTAAAATTGATCGTTGTTTGAATACTGTAGTTTTAAGCGTATTGTTACGTATTCTGTTCTACAGCCATCATAAATCTATAAAACTCTCGGCTTGATTGCCAGAATTCATTTTTTATGGGTCTTTGAAGGATGACGACTATTACGCGCTTAAGTTTGTACATATCCACATTCCACAATCTCAAAGAAACGCTGCTAGTTTGCCCCCGGACCTGAAGATTTTCGGATCCGACGACTTCCTGATTTCAAAACTGCCCTCCAAAAATACAGCCCCAAAACTCGTAAATCGTCTGATTCACCCGAACAAGTCAACAACCTTGTCATCTCTCCTCTCCGCTTCTCACTTGCTATCCATTTCTGCTCCGGAATCGCCCCCCGAAAATTTCCCTAGGGACCAAATTGGGCCCTCCTTGGCCCGGGACGTCGACACTCTAGGGGCCCGCATACCAGGGGGGAGGGACCCGAAATTAGTTTTTGAGTGGTGCTCCTTCTTCCCAAATGGCAACTGAGCAGCGATCGTCTAATCTGGAGCTCTAGATACCGATAAAGACGTTTTCTAGATTTTTTAAACTGCAGTTTTTCGAAATTTGCCCATTTGGCGGATTTTCCAAGCTATTTCAAGAAAATTTTAGCGAAGTTTTGGCCTTGAAGTAAGGCCGATTAAGCTACCATTCAAATTTGCTTCTCTCCATTCTCGACCGCACCTTTTTGTTTACAAATGACTCCCTTCGGGAAGGAGTGAGTGTTCGTCATCGTCCGTATTGTGGCGTAGTCAGCCACCCCTTCTTTTCCTTCCCTTTTTAGGGCGTCAAGTGGTTCCACATTCCCGGCGGCTTTGATCCGAATTAGTTTCGGCTCGCCATTTCCATCACCCAGGACGTTTTTTTGTCTAGTCTCGCTTTCGTGATCGTATGCTTTGGACGGTAATTTGGATTTCGAATACCTGATCTCCTCCTTTTTTCAGTTCTCAAATTCCGCAAAATGTGTTTGCTAGCTTGCCTTGTCCGGATCGGAGAAATCTACAAGACTTTTTCAAAATCCTCAAAGTTCTTTGTTAGCTTGCCATGCGTAGATTTTAGTTAGCTATCAAAAATATCGAAAATATTTTTTTAACGGAAACCTGAAGTAATCTATAAATTGCCATAGAGGCGTTTACCGGGATCCGGCACCACCGGTAGTTTCCCAAATGGTTTCTGCTAGCTGAGCAGTCTCAAAATTTCTAAATTATAACAAACACTAGATGGAATTCGTTTTTAAAAGACCAGTGAAGGCAAAAATAACGCTCAAACTAGCGGGTTTTTGCGAATCTTTGAAGAACTAGATCGCTTCCTGAGGAATCAGTTTTGATGCTGGTGTCACGCTTCCTTTAATCATCACGTTCTTTAACTTTCTGTCAGGCTTGCTTTAATGTCAATATAGCCTTATTATTAACGGTTTCATGAATGCTTCAGCCCGTCAATTCTTGTTGTCACGGCCCCTTTAATGCCCGGCCACGGTTCCAACAAGTTCTGGATCGCCCTGCCAATCCACAAAACCAGATCACCTTAAGCCCCTGTCTGTCTTTCCCACCTGTCCAAAGGAGATGCTTGTAAGCCTGACCCCTCCCTTCGTCAAGTCCTTCAAAGTTAAGCCTATTATTTGAGCTGTCCAGCCTCCTTGTGAAGACTTGTTCCTCTTCCCGTCCCCCGAAATCCAACAGGCTATTTAGCTGACCCCTTCAACGCCCACTTTTTCCGATCTTTTTTATGGCTAACCAGAGCTGTCGAAATGTACAGTTTGTTCCTCATTTTTCTGCCAACCGCTCGCAGAGTAGTCGCGCGTGCAATAACCTTGAAACCGACCCCTCACTTCACTAGCTGAAATGCTCCGGGTCACGGTACAGCAGTTGCGCCAGCTGGTGGTCACTGTCACTTATAAAGCCGTTTTTCTTGAAGGAATTTCTCTTGAGGTTTTTTGTGAACCTGTCAAGCAGATGGCAACACTGTAGAATCTTGAGATGGCAGCTGGTTGGAGCGGTATTTTTTGGCTTTGATTTGGCCTGAATGTATGACTCCCTTTTTCTCTCTCGCCCGCTCAGTCTCTCTTTTTCAAACTATCGCTCCCTCTGTCTTTCTCTGTCCTCACTGTCTTTGTCTATATGAATATATCTGTAGTTTTCTCCGGCTCTCGCTCTCTCACGCTCTCTCTCTCTCTCTCTCTCTCTCTCTCTCTCTCTCTCTCTCTCTCTCTCTCTCTCTCTCTCTCTCTCTCTCTCTCTCTCTCCCTCGCTCTCTCTTTCTCCCCCCTTTCTCTCACCCTTATTTACTATCCTACTAGCTTATGGCTGTCTTAGGTTTGTAGCTTACTCACATTTTAAAGGGATTTTGATGGCTTTTCCATGTATTTTTACGCTGTGGATGTTTTATGAATTTTGCTCGCACCGCAACACGTAACGCGCAATAACGTCTGCGTTGCGGAATCTATTACTCCGTTTTCAAGACGTACAAGCTGCGTTCTCACCGCGTATCGCGGTCCAGCGACAGTTAATCCACATCCATAAAAACCTTGCCTGCCGCTCTCTTCAAGGCATCGAAAAGACCGACAGTTTTCGACGTGAAAAATAGTTTACCAAATCATTGTAATCCAAAAAGTCTTAAAACGTAGCGTAATTCGTTAACTTTTCGATTCATCCACTTCGATTCATCGCAGCAGGTGGCCTTTTGCATTGCGGGGATGGCTTTATGGCGATTGTGGGTGGTGGATGGGTGGCTGGGCGAGGATGGCCCTGACGAAGCCCTCTTCCTTTTTTCCTCCCTACTTCTAGACCTCTATACCCCCGAAACACAACCCGCGACACCCATTTCACCCGGCTCTCAATGGGTCACCGAGCCCCGACTGTTTTTGTCTATCGGCTAGGCTATTCATTTTCTGGGGTGGTAGGGCATCGATTGGTGGCATTAATGGCAGTAGGTGTAGGCCTAATACTTCAAAATTAAAATCAGAATTTCTTTTGTCAGATAATTTATAGATTTCACGATATTTTTGAGAAGCTTCTCTTGATGACGCATTAATAGATTGTTTGAGTGAGCTCAATAAGTTTCGATGCCGATTTTTAGTTTTCATATAAACTAAAAATGTTTAATTTTATGCATTTTTGCGAATCTAATGCTTAATTTTTTATTTTGACTTCTTTTGGAAAGGTATTGCCGCTCCCTTTAAAACCAGCAAATGACGAGTTTTTCACCGAGATCGTGCTCGTTTTCCATTTATCATTTTTTCCTCCTCCCCATCGTATTCCATCCCCCAAATAGCCCCCCGAGGCCTCCAATCTGTATGCTAATTTCGCACCACGACTCCAATTTCGCGCCAATTCCCCTCAAATCGACATTTTTGCCGGATTTCCGCCAGTGTTCGTTTTTCGTTTTCCAACGCTAAATGGAACGTCGATAGTATCAATCTGTATCTCCCTCTCCGTCTCTCTCTCTCTCTCCCTCTCTTTCTCTCTCTCTGCCTCTTAAGCCCGAGACGGATTTGTGGGCGCTCGTAAAATCGGCAGCTTTGTATGCCAGCCATCTCACTTGTGCCCGTTTTTCTTTACTATTTTTTCTGCCAGCCAGCAAGCTGCACACCCCGCAGCCGAACCCTGTACGGGCAAATAAACGTTGAAGAGCCGGGGCATTGAACACAGCAGTTGGCAGACCGGGGAGAGGAGGATTTGTGTCTTTTGCTGACTCAACGACAACCCCTTGCCGGCATAGTTTACGGCCGTAAATAGCGACGAGTTTTGGTGGAGGGAGTTTTTGGGGGTTGGAGGAAGGTTTTGGAATTTATTTCCTCTCTGATAATGGGGTTCTTGCAAATACACACTTTCCGTTACGGTTTGGTCGACCCCTCGGTTTTTGTGAGAGCTGTTTCAAAATAGGTTGGATTGTGCTAAATTTCGAGAAGCAACTAATTGTTGTAACTTGTTTTTGTTTCGATTTTTAAGGGCCGGCGGCCTCGGAAAGTCACGCAAAATCATTATTTTAATTTTTTCGGCATAAATCTACAAGAGCCAAGTTTTCAAGCTTAACATCTAAATTTTTGTCTGCTCTTTCTGCCTCCCTCCATTTTCTCTTTCTCTCTCTCTCTCTCTCTCTCTCTCTCTCTCTCTCGCTTTCTCTTTCTCTTTCTTAGCCTCTCTCTCTTTCTGTAAATATTTTTATTGTTTCATCAGTAGGATTTTGGAAATGTGTGATAAACTTGCCAAACTTGAGTCCACCGGGCCTAAAAACGCCCCAAATAATGCAATTTCCCCTTTCTCATTAGATTTACCGCCAATAAAAGCTATATTATCGTTTACAGCTTTTTTCAAGGCATCATCAAGTACTTGACATGACCAGCAGACCAGGTATTCTTCTGCTCGTCATCCTTCATCCCCTCCCTGCCCTCGCTATTTTTTGTACTCCTTACCCCCGGCTAATCGACCAGCGCGACTAGTCCGCTGGTCTGGTAGAGTAATTTTCGAGCAGTCTACTGGTACTGAAGATTCTTAGGAACCTGTGTGACGGCTGCAAGATACTGTAGTTTTCGATTTGTCGCGTTTTAACTTGTAATAGACCTAGGATACCTTGATTAACCAGCAAGCTTACGCGACGATACGCTAGATATCTTGTGTAAAATAGGCGTGAATTTTAGTTTAATTTTATTGTAGACGTTCAAGTTTAGTTTGCTGTTTTTGAATTGTAAAATACGTAAATTTTACTGAAGGTTACTGTAGCTTTCCCACCTTTCTACATCGGTCCCTCCCTAAAACGATTCCATTTGGCCATCCATTTTGGCTGATTCAGCCGCCCCGGTGATTCAAAATGGCGAGTGTAAGAGGAAAAGATTGACTGCCTCTCACGAAGAGGGGCTTTTCCTGTTTTTCGATTAAAACCCCCACGGTTCTTGACTATCACTTCCTATATCATGCCCTTTGTTAATGACAAGAGCGAGACAGAGAGAGATAGTACAAATTGCTAGAGGGAAAACAACAGCTGCCCCGGCCATTTTTCCCTATC